TATATATATATATATATATATATATATATATATATATATATATATATTATTCGATGCGTGAAACGATTTTCTATCGAGGTTCGATTATTTCAATTGTGCCTTCAAACGTACGAATTTGCATATAAATCTGAAGTTCAATGATGATCCTTGGAATTTCTCAAATTAAATATTCAAAATAGCTAAATTGATCGAGAAGAATTATGAATGAAACGTTGCCTTAATTTCTTGGCATATACTTACGGATGAAAAAGATGTGACACGTTTTCAATCGAAAATACTCTCCGAGTATCTTGGGATATTTTTTAATTCACCATGAAAAATGGAAGTAATTGGAAATGTCGAGATTTATGTGATACTTTTGCTCAGTTAGGGACTATCCCACTGTTCGTCTCGCTTCAGCGACTTTTCTTCTTTTGCATGATAATTTAAAATATACTGAAATACACTGAAATCGAATATTTGAAAATTACGTACATTTTAACACTAAACGTACCAAGCTTTTCAAAATTTACTTTAAGTAAAAATATATGTTTGAGTATTTTATTGGAAATCAAAAGTTATGTTGCTTAAATTATTTCCTTTAATAAATTAAGAATTTCTTTCTAAAAATCAACGTTTATTCACAAGAGGTCCAATGATCCTTTTTCAAAATTTACTTTAAATACAAATATATGTTTGAGTATTTTATTGGAAATCAAAAGTTATGTTGCTTAAATTATTCCTTTGATAAATTAAGAATTTCTTTCTAAAAATCAACGTTTATTCATAAGATTAATAAATTAAGAATTTCTTTCTAAAAATCAACGTTTATTCATAAGGGGTCCAATGACCCCTTTTCAAAATTTACTTTAAATAAAAATGTATGTTTGAGTATTTTATTGGAAATCAAAAGTTATGTTGCTTAAATTATTTCCTTTAATAAATTGAGAATTTCTTTCTAAAAATCAACGTTTATTTATAAGGGGTCCAATGATCCTTTATTGTAAAATAGGTATATATAAAATGCCGGTACGTTTAGTGTTAATAATATTTTTTGAAATATATCCATACAGAGAAAGAGACACAGCAAAGTTTATCCGTTTTTTTTTTTTTCTTTCAGTTTTGTATCATCTTATACATTTAACAGTCGAAATAATCCTCTTTCTATATATTTCGCTCTAGTAAAATTTCTGTCCCAAAAACTTGAAACTCTTCTCACTGTGAGAACCTGTGCTTTCCTCGATCAGTGGATTAATTTAATCACCGAAGATTCATAATTTATCTCAGCACGGTAGTATCCCCGAGTCGTTAAATAGAAGTATTCAAATTTCTGAAAATAATGGAAACACACGCATACGGTGCATACGGGGGAAAGCCGGCGAAAGTTTACTCGTTACTTTTTCGACGCGCCAGCGCGAACTAGTTACTGGCAGCGGTTTTCGGGGGAGGGGAAAAATATG